GAAACTGAACCGGGAACTCTGGTGCATGTGTCAGTGCTCAACCACTGAACCACACCAGCCGGGCATGCCTCCCAATTTAATTGTAAGGAATCTGAGGGCAGAAATTAACATGCTAATGATAACTAAACAGGATTAAGACAAAACAGGTTAGACTGGCAAAAATACTGGGGCCCAGAAGAAGAGACTGCATATTTGAAAGGAGGAACAACAATTGGTATGCTTTGGGAAAAACTATTTAGAGCTCTGAATCTATATCTAGTTTCACAAAGTAATAGGAAACCATAGTTGTAATTATTTCAACTAGTAATAGCTCAAATGCCCAAATTCCCACATTGTGCTATGAAACTAGGGAGAAAAAGGAAAAAGCACCCAATTTAAAATTGAGGAATCAGAAAACAATTCTCAAGAGAAATAGCCCTAAACTAAGATCCTAAAGATTAAGAGATGGAGCTGGTGGTAAGGGCAGGAAGAAGTTCCCAGTTAGAGGGAACTACTTTTACAAAGACCTAGTAGAAACATAGAAAGCACAGCAAGTTCTAAAAACAGAATATTTCTGCATGGCTGAAGCATACAGTGTAAGAGAAAGCAGAGGAATGAGAGAGATGAGAAAAATAAATAGGAGTAATTTCATAAAGAAACTTAAAGGTATATTTAAGTTTGAACTTTTACTCTAAAAACAATGATGGGTTTTACAAAGAGGAGTGATATTGTGCCAGGATAGTAAGAAGCTAGGAAAATTCCTGGACAAGTGGAATGGGGAAACTGAGACAAGAAAATTAAACAAGGCCAAACAGTTGGGGTGGTTTGCAGCCAGCTTGTGAATTACAAGACTTTATCTTTCCCAACCAAGAGCACTTAGAGCAAATGATTCACCTCTCCTCCCTGACAGAAAATATATAGCTTAAATCACCCTGGCCTGGAAAATAAGAGAACAAAGATCCAATTAATGGCATTTGTGCCAGATAAACCCAAGGACAGATGAAGTCTGGGGGACAAATAACAAAAACCCCCAAAGCATCTGGTTGGTTGGGATAAATGTAAGGCAGGATAGATAGCTGCTAGGGCAGGAGGAAGGGAAAGGGGTTAAAGGGGGGAGTTTATTTCACCTACTGAACAAAGAAGTCAGCAGTCTTGGTACTTCCAAGATAAAATCACCAGATATTCTCATAAATTCTGGGAAAAGCCACAACAATGTAAAAGGGGAACCTTAAAATCTAGTCCACCTGGCAAGGGAACCTTGAAACCTATGGGGGGGAACTTGAACCCCTACCAGGTGTGGCATTCAAACTATCTGAGTTGCCCGCTTATGCTTTATGCCTAGTGTATTCTTAATAAATCTGCTTGCTTTTTGCTTCCTTAATAAATTCACTTGCTTTGTTTCAACACTGCTTTCTGTCACTCATCTGAATTTTTTCTCGGGATAGTGACAAGCACCATGGAAGGGCCCAGCCAGCATGGCTCAGTGGTTGAGCTTCGACCTATGAACCAGGAGGTCACGGTTCGATTCCCAGTCAGGGCACATGCCTGGGTTGCTGGCTCGATCCTCAGTGTGGGGCATGCAGGAGGCAACCAATCAATGATTCTCTCATCATTGATGTTTCTTTCTCTCTCTCCCTCCCTCTCCCTTCCTCTCTGAAATCAATAAAAATATATTTTTAAAAAAAGAAAAAGAAAAAGAGCCAAGGAAGGATGAACCCCTCCAACTCATTCTAATCTAAATATGTTAAAAGGACTGGAAGGGGGAAAGCTGGAGATGGAAAAACCAGTTAAGAATCTACTGCAGATGTGGGGGTAGCTGGTTTAAAGGTGGGAGGAAAAATTCCTGAAGAAAATACCATTTAATAGAGAAAACAGGAAAGTAATATTCAGAGATAATAAGAACTTTCCAGAATTGATGGAAGACACTAATCCTCAGATTCAGAAAACTCAACTTAATCCAAGTAGGACAAAGGAAAAAAATAAAAAGACTAAATTCATATCTACACATATCCCAGAGAAACTATAAAGCATTAAAGAAAAAGAGAGAGGGGGGTCAATAGAGAGGGAAGGAGGGGGCATCTGTAATATTTTCAACAATAAAGATTTATTTTTAAAGAAAGAAAGAGAACATTAAAAGTAGCCAGAGAGAAAATAAACAAAGGAACAACACTTAGACTGATAAATAACTTCTCAATAGCAACAATGGAAGCCAGAAGTCAGTGGAATGTTATCTTTAAGAAAGCTGAGCCGAAACCGGTTTGGCTCAGTGGATAGAGCGTCAGCCTGCGGACTGAAAGGTCCCGGGTTCGATTCCGGTCAAGGGCATGTACCTGGGTTGCGGGCACATCCCCAGTGGGGGATGTGCAGGAGGCGGCTGATCGATGTTTCTCTCTCATTGATGTTTCTGACTCTCTGTCTCTCTCCCTTCCTCTCTGTAAAATATATTTAAAAAAAAAAAAGAAAGCTGAGATATTCCTAAACATATAAAGCAAAATGAAACATACCCTCTGAACTATGTGCACAGTAATAATGAGCACTTACAGCACCCAGATAATAGTCTCTAAATACCATTGCCCACTAAACTGAAAGACTAAGGAGGAATTGATAAACACCATCATGGAGGGAGATTCAATACATCTCTCTAAATAACTAACTAAACTAAATAAGCGAAAGAAAATCTGAACACTATAATTACCAATGTTTGTGTGTATGAATGCACATGTGGGTGTGTACATATGCATATATTTCAGTCTTAAGTAACAAAAGGTATAGCAGTGGAAAAGTACAGGATTGTTTCAGGGAAGACAGAGTAGGTACTGGGTGATACTATTAACAATACATGATAGGGCAGTATTGGAGAGTATACAAAATGTAGAGGTAGGGATCATAGAATAATTGAATGTTGAGGTAATAAGGAACCTACAATGGTAGGAGAAATGGAAAACAAGAAATTAAATATAGCCCGGCCAGTGTGGCTCAGTGATTGAGTATCAACCTATGAACCAGGAGGTCATGGTTGAATTCCTAGTCAGGGCACATGCTCAGGTAGCGGGTTCAATTCCCAGTAGGAGGGCATGCAGGAGGCAGCCGATCAATGATTCTCTCTCATCATTGATGTTTCTCTCTCTCTCTCGCCCTCTCCCCTTCTTTCTGAAATCATTTAAAAAAATTTTAAATTTTATTACATATAAACTAAATTGATATCACTAAAGTAGAAAGATAAGTTATCAAATGATGAACTATACAGATTGCTCATTATTTTTTTTTAAAGTGCATATATATGTGTATGAATGTGTTTATAAAATAAAGTTTGGAATGATACACACTACTGCAGAGGTGACATATGGGAGTGTGCAGGGAAGAGGGGAAGGTTATATTTTCATTTTATCATTTGTTTTCTTTTCTGACTGTTTTTCATTTCTATAATGCACTTATATTGCTTTTATAATATAAATAACAGTAAAATGAAAGATTAAAGAGAAAATAACTTCCTAGGGTAGAGGCTAGAGTTTATCTGCTAGTTTTTTATAGCTATAATTAGCATTTCAAACAGGTACCAACAAGCCAGCTAATCTACTTCTATTATCTGACAGATATCAGGATACTTAGTATGTGAGATTCTATGAAAGAAACGTTTAGAAAATAAATTTCCTACTACTCATTAGAACTGATAGTATGCTAAAATAATCATCTGTGGCAATTTTTCCTTGACAATTTGTTAAATTATAAAAGTTAACACATACTTGTTACAATTTATCCAACACAGAGATCATAAGAGAATTATATACACATTATTTTGCATCTTCCTACTTATTCATCAGGACAATTTTTAGATATATTTGCCTACAGTTGCAAAATCACATTTTTTATCTACATGAAACAGTTGTGATTGGAGTTAAGATACAGTACTTTTGTTTGAAAACCCTAGAGAATATAAAATTCTATCTAGAACAATTGGCTGACAAAAATGATAAAACAGGACACAATAACAACCTGATTACTGCAGAAAAGTTTTTTCTTTTTTGTTTTGTTTGCTTGCTTATTTGTTTTGTTTTCACAATACATCTTTCTAAACTACAAAACTATTATCAAGTTTGTTTAAATTATCATCAGTAGTCAAACAAAAATCAGCCTAAGTAACCTAAGACACTACATGCTCACCCAGGCCACGCCAAGTCAGTGCCCCTGAGAAATCCCCAGAAGGCTAGCGGGTGTCTCACCAATTCAGCAGAGGGCTGAGTCAGATTCTGAACCACTGCCTCAAGTGGTACTCACACAAATTAGATAAAGTGACCTATGAAGTCATTGTATCCACCCCATCTCAGGAAATCTTGTTCCCAAAGAAATAATAACCAGTTTTTTGTCCAGTCCAACTTTTGCTATAAACAGAATGCACCTTTCACCGAAGCCCAAGAAGAGTATCTCATCAAAAGTCTTAATGTATAAGGACATTTTAATAATAAACTTAAATTTTCCAAAGATTTACTAAGCTACTTTTACCTATACTAATCATTTTCCCTACCTAAAAAATAATGTTTTCCTCATCGGAGCACTATCCTTCAGATAGTTAATTAATTATAGCTTAATAATCAGTCCTTGTCTAGAACCCAATCTATGTTAAAGTAATTACAATGTGTAAAAGAGACATACTAGTATATCAAGATCCTTTAGTATTATCATTAGCCATGCTCATACCCTACCAGGTACAATATGTATTGGTTAAATATATGTTGTGTTATTTTTGTATTTTAAAAACAGATATATTCATTCAATGGCAAAGGAGAAAACACACTCAGAATAACAGCATCCTATCTTCTTCAAAATTCCCTAGTTTCTAGAGACTTTTTTGTGTCTTATACACTGCCATTAATTTGACTGCTTCATAGCTCTAACACAATTAGAAAAAAATGACATAATGGCATGACTTTAGCAGGCATACATTTCATTTAATATGACACAATGAGATAATTACTATTTTCTAAAAGTTGGCTACTTACTGTCAATATTCACTCAAAACTTACTTCCAATTCTTTAATTTTTTCCTCTGCTATTTTCTGTTTCTCTAACAGCTGATTGTGAATTACCTCCTTAGACTGAAGAATAAACCTACAAAACACAAAAAAGTTGAAGATGAAGCCACATGACCACTTTATTCATCAAAATCAACAAATATTAAACTAAGAAAGCTAAAGGAACAATCTTCCAATTTAGGACTAATAACATGCATTGTTATGTTAATGTGACAAACTCCAAAAATCACCACAGGTTTAAACCTTCTTGGCAGAGAAGGAATAAAAGCTTAAAAGTAATTTTGCCTTCTTATCTAAGAAGAGAATCAAATCAGGCTTCAAGTAAATTCATAAATAAATGGAGAAAAAATATAAAGGGATAAAAATCTATTACAGGCTAAGAGAAAAGTTAACAAACAATAAAAATCCCCCATAACTTTTATTTTACCAGTTATCTGTATCAACTTTTATCTAGATATTTTTTAAACAATATTTATAAATTAGAACTCTCTCTCCAATCTTTTATTTTATTTTTTTGTTGTAACAGCAGTAACTCATGACCTTTTAAAGTCACAATCAAGTACTGTGTTAGGATCAATGCATCAGTGTTTATATGAGCTCCTAACACAAAAAGCGCTGTATAAAGTCTAGTATCTTTTATTATTATTTCCAGAGTGTATAATACCTCTGAAAAGCTCAAAATGCACCAGTGGAAAATTTCAACTTTTTCCATTTTATAGTCAGACATGTTATTTACAACAGATGAGGGTGGAAATATGGGGAAGCTTTAAAAATTAACACTGAATCTGTTCAGTGACTTTATGTTCATAATTCTTGCTGTAGGGAAAGGAAGAACAAATTACTTTATAGCCTCAAGTAAGTGAACTGAAATACTTCCCTTCTACTGGAACTAAGGGAAAACCTCAATTACACAAATCTCTTTTAGGACTGTCCTAAAAGTAGGCCAGTGATGGCAAACCTTTTGAGCTCGGCATGTCAGCATTTTGAAAAACCCTAACTTAACTCTGGTGCTGTGTCACATATAGAAATTTTTTGATATCTGCAACCATAGTAAAACAAAGACTTATATTTTTGATATTTATTTTATATATTTAAATGCCATTTAACAAAGAAAAATCAACCAAAAAAATGAGTTCGCATGTCACCTCTGACACGCGTGTCATAGGTTCGCCATCACTGAACTAGGCTTTAACAGATTTCAATTAAAGATTACAATTAATTAAGTGAACTGTTTCTTCTCTTTGTACATAACATAGGAGTTTCTAACAAAGAACTAAACATCTCTTAATGAAAAGCCAAACAAGAAAACATATCAAAGTAGCAATATGCAGTTTCCTCTACCAACCTCACAAAAACACTGTCTTGATAGGTTCTTAGCAAGAGGGTCTGTTACTATAGATACTAGAAGCCCCTCAGCCCAGCCTGCATCCTCTCCAATCCAGAACCTTGGGGATCAGGCCTAAACCAGCAGTCAGACATCCCTCTCACAATCCTGGACTGCTGGCTCCTAATCGCTCACCTGCCTGCCTGTCTGATCGCCCCTAACTGCCCCCTCCCCCGCCAGCCTGATAGCCCCTCACTGCACTCCTGCTGGCCTGGCCACCCCATGCAGCCTGCTGCTCAGTTGTTTGGTCGGCCCTCACTAACCCCCCTGCCGTGTCCTGGTTGCCCCACGCAGCCTGCTTGTTCAGTCATTTCGTTGTCCCTCACTAACCCCCCTGCCGGCCTAGTCGCCCACACAGCCTGTTCGGTCGTCCGTTTGGTTCCAATGGTTGCTTAGGCTTTTATTATTTTAGATTATAAGTAACCACATCATCTTGGAAATTAATAAGGTGTGTTTCAGACAAGACAGCAGACTATTACTTTTATACCTCAGCATTACTTTGCATTATATTCTGATGAGTCACATACATGTAACATAAGCTTAGTATATGTTTAAGAATAAACAATATCCCTTTAAAACAATAGTCTTTTAGTCTTATTTTCCTAAGACTTTTAAGAAATACTATGCTTGAAGCCACTGCCTGACTGGCAGTCTTTTCTTACTTAGGCAGGCAATTATTCCAAGCTTGTTTTATCCTCTGAAATATTCGGTTAAATTAAATGACCCCAACAGATTATCTACACTAGCAATCTTCACTTCCTCATCTCCTCATCAAATCACTCCACAGAAATAAATTTCACTAAAGTAACTA